TCACTAGTCCTGAAATGTTTGTGTGTGTGGTGTTTTTAGTTTTTGCTGTTTTTCATGGTAACCAAAAAGTTTTAATAAAATTTTTTTTCATTAAAAAAATCTTCCATCAGAAAATGAAAAAACAGTCAAGCCTGTTTCAGTCAAAATGTGTTGTGTTGGATGAAACTCCAGAAAACAAAAAAGGCCAATCAAGTTTACATGTTTTATGCAAAAAATGTCTGTTTTTTAAAAAAATTATTTTACAAAAATCTGCCATTGGGTATAAATCGTTAAAGATATTCTTGGGTCATAGGATCAGGATGTTGAAAAAATCTTTAATAGAGGACGCATAAGAGTAAACACCAGTGAGTAATACCAGTGAGAGAAACCTTACACCTAGGACTTACCCGGAGAGTTGAGCATGGGTCACATGATCCCCATTGGCTCCACGGGCTCAGTTTGCAGTCCATTGGAGTTGGAGCATTAGGGTCTCTTGTCCTCCTATGCAAAATTTTCTTTGAAGAGCTATCAAACAAAACATTTCAGAACCAGTATCAGCTAAAATCAAGCACAAGTGTCAAAACATCGGTCAATGGCTTATAAACAAATGTCCTTTAGCTATGTCCTGGCTCACTTGCACAGCAGTCGTCAGCAGTTGGATATACAAAATAGCCTCAATCTCAAACTCTCCACCTGGTTAAAAAGGGGAGAATGGAGGACATTTACTTTTTTTTCTCCAAATATTTAAAGTCAACTAAGAGCTAATGAACCAACATTTTTTTCCTTCCTGGATTCACCCAAGTTTCAGTCTGTTTAGATCATGTTAAGTTGTAGGTCAGGGAAAGTAATGAAATAACAGCTCATCATGGACCTTCAGGACATCCCAACCCTGTGCCCCTGTCATGGGCACCCAGAATCCCAGCCACCAATCCCATGCCCTGGCCGTCTAGGGTCCTGGCAGCCAGACCAGCTGCTGCCTGGGGGTTCTGCTACCAGCACTGGGTCATGCTTCGCTGCAGATCCTGCTCAGCTGCTGGCCCTTCACCTAGGGTACGTGCCACTGGCCCCAGGGTCCAGCCACTAGCTCTGTATGTGGGGTCACAGATGCCATCCCAGCTTTACAGGGCAGTGAGAGGGGCAGACACAGTTGCACTCCCACTCCAAAAACTGTCCCAATGCCACTGAACTCCTTCAAGGTGTCTCATTAGACACCAAAGCGAAGGCACCCAGAATCAATGGTCACTTTCAAAAATTTGGAACAGTATTTTTAAGATTACCTTACCCAGTCTACTATCAACTCCTACTCAGTTCATTTTTCTAGCTCTCATCCATTATATAATCAGTTTACTGATACAGCAAGAAAAACTATTCTACAAATACCTTGTGGCCTAAATTGACTTGATAGCATCTCTTCAGTGGTAAATAGCTTGTAATCCTTTGGAAGATCGACTCACCATGTAATTGGGGTTACAAGGTAGACCCCCCCAAAATACCAGACATACTTGATTGTGGGGGGAGGAGGGGGGAGAGAAGACCAGCTGAGAGGGGGTGGGGCTAGCCAGGAGGAAGGAGGTGGGGCTGGCAGGAGGGGGAGGTTGGGGGCCATGCAGATGGATGGGAGGAGGGGGAACTGGACGAGGGGGGGCAGGAAGCAGAGCTGATGGGGAGGGTGCAGCCACTGGCCGCAGCCGAAGTCCAATGGGCCACACCCCCGGCAGGCACTCCCTCTAGTTGCTGGTGGAAGCCAGGCGAGGGCAGGGGGGAGTGGCTGGGAGCCACTCCCCAGCCCAGCTTCTGCACACAACCAGAGGCTCCCACCCCACCCCACCCTTGCACAGGAACACAGGGCTCCCAATGCCAATCGCAGCCTGCCTCTACCTGGCTTCCATACTGCACCCAGCTGGAAATTCAGAAAATACCGGATATTGCATATGAACAGTATTTTCTGAATTTTTCTACCGGACAAAGGGCGCAAATACCAGACTGTCCAGTAGAAAACCAGACACCTGGCAACTCTACATGTAATCCTTTGGAGGATCGAATCACCTTAGCTGGCTTTGGAAATCCTTTAATTGTCCTGCCATCAAGCAGTGTACTGCTCTTGTGCTGGGTTTGAGATCTCATGGTTGAGAACCCAGGTCTTCAGAGCTACCAAACAGCTAGTATCTCCAGGCTGCTATCCAACAACAGCTGTAAGCAGCGTGTGCACCACTTATCATGACTTGCTGGGGACAGAGCACATGGGAAGTTCTGCCTCAAAAATTTGACATACAGCAGCCTCAAACCTCCTGATTGGCTCTCTGCACTAGATAAAGCCAAAAAGTATTCCAGGAAGCATCCAAACAACAGTGGATCTCCTGTAATTGCCACAGCCATTCCCGCCTTCTGCTCCTGAATTTCTGGATTGAAATTTCTTGAATTCAGCTTGATTTGGATTATGCCTCTTGACCCTTAGTATTGATGCTGGCCTGGAACTTGACTATGGGAGTGACAGAGGAATTTATACTGAGGTTTACCCCTACTCTGAACTTTGGCCCTGATTGTCCTTGTTGGGATTCTCTCTCCTGGTCAGCCAACATGACTTTAGTTGCTAAATGTGCACCAGTCAGCCAGCCTGCCTCTCTCTTCAAAATGTTTCTCACTTCAAAAATCTCTTGGGTCCTAAACTTAGGTCTGGTAGTAAATTGGTCCCTGAGGCTACATCTACACTGCAGGGCTGTGTCTAGACTGGCTTTTTTTTCCGGAAAATCAGCCGCTTTTCCGGAAAAACTTGCCAGCTGTCTACACTGGCCGCTTGAATTTCCGCAAAAGCACTGACTTCCTACTGTAAGAAATCAGTGCTTCTTGCGGAAATACTATGCTGCTCCCGTTCGGGCAAAAGTCCCTTTTGCGCAAAAATTTTGTGCAAAAGGGCCCGTGTAGACAAATGAGATTTGTTCTCCACAAAAAAGCCCCGATCGCGAAAATGGCGATCGGGGCTTTTTTGCAGAAAAGTGCATCTAGATTGGCCACGGACGCTTTTCCGCAAAACCGCATTGTTATAACGTGAACTCCGCGCCAATGTAGATGCTCTTTTCCAAAAATGCTTTTAATGGAAAACTTTTCCGTTAAAAGCATTTCTGGAAAATCATGCCAGTCTAGACGTAGCCCTGCTGTGAGGTTTTTATTTATGTCAGACCTTCAGAGTAGAGCCCTGAACTGATCAATGGCATAAATCAAATTGGGGTTCGGTAACAAGCCTCCCCCCTCTTTTACACAAGAGCCCTTATTCCTCAAAAAATAAGGTTTGCAAGTTCTCGTGCAAAAGGTTTCTTTTCCTGACAAATGGCCCCGTCTACACAAGACTTATTGCAAAAACCTCTTCCTCAAAAAGGATCAGAAGATATGCAAATGAGTAATCAATTTGCATTTCCTCTTCTGCAAAACACCTGCAGCGTAGATGTAGCCTGACTGAGGGGCCCGGGCGGATATAGAGCAGGGTGAACGGGGTGGCTGCCCCGGGCCCCTCGCTTCAGAAACCCCCATGCATGCGCGTGGCGTCACTGCGCATGCGCCGTGGCAAAGGGGGGGCCCTGTGGAATTATGCTGCCCGGGACCCTGCAAAACAGTCATCTGCCCCTGCTGAGGGGAAATGCATTAAATAGTCGGGACTCTGGAATAATTTTAAAGCTAAAATCAGCAACATGCACACAGCTGTAGTACTTCTTGGGGCAGTAGAGCTAGTGACAGAGAAACCAGCTGATTCCTCATCCCAGTTCTAGTATGCTCTATCTTGTGCTACCGGCATCCTGTCCTTAAATGTAGTGTTGGTGTAAAGGCAGAGCACTACACCACACCTCCTATGTTAGTATTGGGTATTACTAATTGCAGATGGCTCTGAGTCACTGAGGTCACCTCTGCCAGGAAAGTTCTCTTCTCTACTGGTGAGTTACAGCCATACTTGGTCTCTGTTGCTATTTCTACATTACTTTTCATCCTGAGGTAACTCCAGAGACAGTGTGCCACTGATGGATGGGACAGTGCAGTGAATATGCCTTCAGGTTAAGAATGATATATATTTTTTAAAAATGAGTTCTGTGGCACCTCAGGCCAGTCATATACCCAGTCCTCTAATTTCTATTCCAATTCATCTCATGAAGTGGGTCTTACCCATGAAAGCTTCTGCTCTAATAAATCTGTCAGGGTGTATCGAGACTACACGGAACGGTCGAAAGAGGATATGCAAATTCTCACAGAATTTGTATATCTTCTTTTGATCGCACTTTCAAAAGCAGAGCTTTCAAAAGTGAAAGTAATTAAGACGTGGCTTTTTCCACCCTTTGTCGAAAAGCTGCATAAACCTCCTTTTTTAAGAAAGCGGCTTTGACGAAGGGGGAGGCTTGCCGAAAAAGCCGCGTCTTAATTACTTTCACTTTCAGAAGTTCTGCTTTTGAAAGTGCGATTGGAAAAAGATATGCAAATTCCTGCCAAACTTGCATATCCTCTTTCCACTGTTTGGCATAGTCTCGATACGTCCTTAGTCTCTGAGATCCCATAGGACTTCTTATTTTTGTTTTTTTGTAGACACTAGGACAGCTACCTCTGAGACACATTTTTAAGTGACTAAGCAACCTCAAGCCGTCTTGCTGCTATGCATACCTTTGCCTGAATCTGTAACCCAAATCTATTCTGTCCTATGAGTGCAGAGGTGATACTCACTTCAAACAGTTTCTTGAAAGTTCTTGTATCAGACAATTCCACCTTGTATTTAACTGGCATTCATAACCAACAAAAAAATATTAGTAGGTGCTTAGTAACCAACAGCAGCCAGCCTTTCCTCCCAGCACTGTCTGCAGGCAGCCCTGATTAATTTCTTCTCCTCCTCCTCTTGTCCCTTCCCCACCTCCCTCCACCCTGTCTCCCACCCACTACAAACAGCTCTTCCAAAGCCTGGAGAAGGTGCTGGATGGGAGCTGCAGCAGATAGGAGACATGCTTGGGGCAGGGGGTGGAACTCTACAGAAAGAGATGGGGGTTTGGAGGAAAGGATTGAGTTGGAATGGGGCCTAGGCCCTGACAAGCCCACTGATGGGAAGGAGACTGGGACAATTGCTCCAGGGCCCAGAAATTCAAAAGCAGTGGCCAGAGTACTGAGCCCTTTGAAAAGCTGTCAGAGCCCTAAGTGATATGCTCCATGTGTCACTGAATGGCTGGCTGGTAGTGATGATGGTGGGGAAACTGGTCCCTATGCTTGCCCCTTCTACCAAAAGCCTCTCCATTTCTTTGATGCAGATCTGTCCCTCTTCCCACCTTATCCAGGCACCTGACAATTCTGTTAGCCCCTCTCCCCCTGTTCCTTGGAACTCAGAAGAGGCTGGCACCTATGCTGGTATTTACCTGCCTCAGACTTGAACTCAAAATGTTCTCATTGACAAACAGCAATGGGCTTAATAATAAACCTCACCTGCCTTGTCTCTTATTGTATTGCCAAATAAGGTACCCTAACCCATCATCATCCTGTACAGAATTCACATTTGCTAGAAACCTGCAGTGATAAATGTAATAATTTTAGTAATAATTTTTATAAGTCATTTGCATACCTCAGTTTTCCTATGTGCTTTGCATTCCTATTTACTGAGGCTGTGTCTACACTGGCAAGTTATTCTGGAAAATAAGCCGCTTTTCCGGAAAAACTGCCAGCTGTCTACACTGGCCGCTTGAATTTCCGGAAAAGCACTGACGATCTAATGTAAAATCATCAGTGCTTTTCCGGAAAAAACTATGCTGCTCCTGTTCGGGCAAAAGTCTTTTTCTGGAAAACTGTTCCGGAAAAGGGCCAGTGTAGACAGCACAGTAGTGTTTTCCGCAAAAAAGCCCCGATCGCGAAAATGACGATCGGAGCTTTTTTGCAGAATAGCGTGTCTAGATTGGCCACGGACGCTTTTCCGGAAAAAGTGCTTTTCCGGAAAAGCGTCCTGCCCATCTAGACGCGCTTTTTCAGAGCATTTTCGGAAAATCATGCCAGTGTAGATGTAGCCTGAGTGTAATGGTAGGGATAAGTTATTTGATTGGATTCATAGAACAGCCTGGATTAGATTCTGCACACATACATGGAAGATCCAGATTAGACTAACACCAATGGCCACGATATTCACACCTAACAACCAAGAGATTCTTCCACCTTTCTCTGCAGGGGAACAAAGGCTTTGCCATAGCAGGTTCTAGTGCAAACAGTGCTTTGTCGGCAGGGGGGACGGGGAGGGGTTGTCTGCAAAAATGCCTTTTAGTAACATGACCTGGTCAGAGTTGGGCAGGCCCCATGCTTGCCCCTGAGGAACTGAGAGCTCTCTCAGGATCCAGTACACACAAAAAAAGAGTTACTTCAAAAAAGGGACTAGTCACATGGGCATAGGCTAGATCCTGTGGATTTGTGACATTTGTGCCTTAAATTCCCAGGTGTGTGTACTTAAAGATAAAGAACTCTACAAATGATCTCATGGCCCTCCAGTGTGCCAGTGCTCGGTCAGCAGCCATTGTCCCCACCTACAATGAACTTGTGTTTAGCTTCAGCCTGAAAAAGGATGGCTTCAGAAGAAGAGTGGCCCACGTTTCATGTTTCTTTCTTTGAGGCCTCAGTGACAGCTCTGCCAATAGTGTTTTAAATTAAGTCATTTATAGCTGATGAGATTAGGAAAAATGACATGCTTGTTACCTCATTATTAAACTGAGGGAACTAGTTCTATTTGCTGACACACAGGGCTCAGTCAAGCAATTTAATGCACCTAGTTTGAACAGGAAGGAGTTGAAAGCAGCACTGCCATCAAGAATGCTGCTGAGCAGGACAGCAGGGAGCAAGGACTTCAAAGACAAATGCTGAATACAGCATGCCCTCTAATTTCTGCTCAGAAGGGAGCTCCCAGCTGGCTGCTTCACTCTCCACCGTGAGTTTTAAACTTTGAAAATGTACCTCGCATGGATGTGACTGAACCCAGAACATCTCTGAACCCAGGGAAGAGTTGGCCTCCACATCAAAGCATTGCCTTTGAAGTGCAGGAACAGATATACTCTAGAGCAGTTTATTGCAAGATCCTTGATTAACAGAGCTGTTCCTGAATGCAGAAATAGAAAAGCAGAGCACCTTGGCTAGCTGACAATATTGATATTTCAGCAGTCCAGGAGAGAAGAGAGGCCTGGGTCAATTTCCCAATCTGCAAAGAAACTTGATTGCACTTTTCCTGTAGCCTGAGGTTGTATAACACTGGCTAAACTCACATTTGAGAGCCAGCAATACATCCCATTATGTTAGTGATTTGTTATTGGTTACCACTATAATTTGTTAAATCATAAGAGGATGTGTTTTGGGGCCATTTTAAGCAACTATGAAATTGATGAATTCAAGCAAGGAAGTTGGCTTGATGATTGAGTCAGAGCAAGCTGCAGACTCCACAAGGATCTGACTTTCAAACCCAAGACGGTTTCTCATCTGTGTGACTACTGGTAATCTCACCTTTGAATAGATAGTTGCAGAATTTCAGGGGGCCTGGAGAAAAGCAACAAAAATGATGGAGCATCTCAAACACTTATAAGAAAGGAGAGAGGATTAGGATTGTTCTTTATAACAAGGAAGCAAATAAGATGGGGAATGATAAAAATTAGACGAGATAGATCAGAAACTTTGGTTCTTGGCTCAGAAGAACAATGATTCAATCATTGGAATTGAAAAGATAGGAAATTTAAAGCCAATAAGAAGAAATTATTTTCATGCAATATGGAACTAAAAATCATACAGTCCATAAATGGGGAAAAACTATTTCTGTTTTCTATCCCTTTGAATCTTACGAATATCTAGTTACACTTTTTAGAAGGAATGCTAAACTTCTAACTTCAGGATTAAAGCCAGTCTTTTATGAAGGTAGGATGAAAGTTACTGAGCAAATGATGCATCTAATTAGGGGCCAACAAAAAATACATTCATTTTGATTTGAACCCAGACCATTTTCAAACATTTCTGTTTAATTGAAAAAAGCTCCAACCCCTAGAAAAGGTTGCTTTAAGTTGATCAAAGTATTGACTGTAGAGTTTTTCCATTTCAGTTCAGCCACTTTGAGAGTTACACCCTGGGTGTATGTTTTACTTTTTAATTGGCCAAATTGAAAATCAAAACATTGACTCAATGTTTTGTTTAGACTAAGTCAAAACAATTTTTCCCTTCAGCTGAAACTATTCAGGTCAAGTTCATGTCAGTTTCTACTCCTGCCCCCAAAAAGCTCTGAGGAATGTGGGGGTAGGAACATCCCATCAAAAAGTTCTCCCAGCTTTAATTATCCCATTTCTACCTACCACAGGGTTCTTTATTCTCCAAAGCATCCGGTACTCAGTCAGAGATAAGGTTCTGGACCAAATGGCCCTAATCTTGTTTGTAGGAATTGTCAATCTTACTTTAGGAGCACAGACTCTTCCAGAGCTGGTGAAATACATCTTTCTTTATGGAGATACCATACAACTAGCACAGCTCTTCAGAGAGCTGATCACTATTAACATCTGGCTTCAGAGAATGGAGTATAGAGTAGGATCTTTGAAATGACAATCTGTAGTCTTATCACTAGAAAAGTGAATGAGTCTCAGGGAGAAATGTGTCAGGCAAAACAAGCAACAAAACTTAAGTACGGTGTTTATAATAAAACCAGAGCTAAGATAACAGATAACATCACTGCTATCTTTAATCATAGGCGCTTGATCATGCCATACAGATGCAATATAAAATCCAAGGAGCCTAAAACTAATACCATAAAGTGGCATTTTAAAAAAGTAACAAGAACCTTTCTTGGTTACAAGGAAAATGCAACTTGTGGATGAATGCACACACTTTGCTATCCTGGGTAAAACAAAATACAAAGCTGCTGACGGAAAGAAAAATGAAAGGAAATTACCTTCTCATCTCTCCTGAAACCAAGGTAGTTGCTTCCAAAATGCATAGTGCATATGTAAGTAGCAGGATAGGATACATGCTTCTAGATTTTTTTTTTTTAGCTAGAGGGAAGAAACTGCTGCAACTAAGTTTAGAGAGTCTTTGTTCGCTGTGTCATTTATTATCAGAAGACCAAAGGCAACGCCCACACAGAGCATGCCAATGATAGGCCACAGCTAATGTTGACTTAAGGTATGGTGAAAGAGTCAGTCTTTAAAAAAATTTTCTGGCTGTCTTTTTTGCAGCATTTCCCTAACAGAGATAATTCTCCTTTTGGCCAACTAGACATGTAATAGAGTTCTTCTATTGAGTGCACATATGTTTCCATTGGAGATCTCTACCAAAGGAATGCACTGTCCAGACATTGTCTAGGTTAAGGAACTAGAAGGGGTTTCTTTTGGGGGGGGGGGGGG